TTCTATTCTTTTAGTTTTGGTTGTTTAGGCTCTTTCGAAATCAGCCCAGTTTTGCTTTTCTGCTTCCTCTGTGGGGGCGGGAAGGCAGTTGGCCTAATTCCCAAGTCCTTGCCCATCCCTTCCTGTTCTTCTCCTGCCTTGGATGCAGCAGGCTACTGATCAAAAGGTTGAGTATCGAGGTTGGCCTTTCCCAACCTGGGGGGCGGAGGGGGAGCTGGGTGAAAAACAGGCCTTAAGGGCCACGATTGTAAGGTGGAACCTGAGGTGGGGATTCACCAAAGTGCTTTTCTCTTTCTATTGCCAACCTCCCAACCCTCTCCCACGTTTCCCAAGAGAAGAGGTTAGCGACTGGGACCCTGGGGGCTAAAGCTATGATGGTGTTCCAGGTTTTTGTTGTATTTGCATCTGTGACCTCCAGCCCTCTAGATTAAAGCATGAGGCAGAGAGTCGTAAGGTCTGGGTCATGCTTGGTTGAGTTTGTGTTACCCATACTAAGGGTTTCACTCACCTTGAGAGACCACTTGGCCTTGGTTGTGATTACCCCACTTTGGGCACCAGTTGTGGGGTGTAGGGAGGCTGCCGCTCCTTAATTCTTCCCTCAGAGGAGAGGATTGAGGAAAGGTGAGCACGATGTCTCCCCTTTCTCCAGCCCCTGCCCATTGCAGGGACAATCATTCTTATTAATGTCAAATTTCATTGTACAGAATTGTGTTGGTTTCAAGACAATGATGTTTGCGACAGTGATGTTGAATGCCATGATGATGTTGAAAATAATTCCTAGAGTGGAAGGAAGCTGTAGCCCTGAGGGAGTGAGCCCTGTAAACCTCCAGGAGTACTGTGTACAGCACACATAGCAAGTGCCTACCACACCAGCAGCACCTAGCTACCCTTCCCCTCACATTCAGCTGTTTCTATATTTTTCACAACTCATAAGCAAACAAAGGTAGTTTTCTTTTGCATTTCTTTAGTTTCTTAGTAAGATGTAATATTCTTTCCAGTAATTCCTACTTTAACATCTTCTTTTAAGAACTAAGTATTAATGATTTTTTTTGGTAGAATATCTTCTCATCAGCTTTCTTTATGCAAAGACATGAGTATAAATAAGTGGTGTCCATGTCTGTTGTAAATTCTTTAAAAATACTATGATGCTACAATTGATTCAGAGAAGGGTGCACATGCGTAGAGGGAAGTATGATCAGTTTTGAAGTATGCATATCCCTGAAGCAAGTTAAGATGGTGAACACCTCTTTCGTCCCCTTAGATGGATGTATTTTCCTCATGCACACTTAGCCTTTCTTTCCAACATCTTTGTCTTCCCTGTCTCTGGCAGCCATCAGTTTCCTGTCCCTCTAGTTTGCATTTTCTAAAATCTTGCATAGGTAGAGTCACGTGGTATGTGTTCTGTTTCTGTTTGTGTGTCCATGCTCTTTTTCTCTCCCTTTCTCCCACATCCTTGTCCATGTTTACCACAGCCCTTCTGATAGATGCATGGTGTCCTTGAATTATGGTTTTGTTTTGTAACTAATGATGTCTAGCATCTTTCCTGTCATTATTTATAAGCTGTGTATCTTTTCTAGTGACACATAATTCAGATTTTGTGAACTGGGTTGTTTGCTCATTGCTAAGGGAGATTTTAAGTTTGAATGCTATTTATTATATTTACTATTTAAAAAATATTGCCTCTGTTCTGTGACTTATATTTTCATACTCTGTCTTTTCAATTTGAGGGACTTCTATCCTTTTAGTTTGGCATTTTATGGAATATGTTTTTTAAATTTGCCTGACCAAAGATAACGGTTTTTCCTAAGCTTAGGGATTTATGGTTAGTATTGGGAAAATAGTAAATAAATAATAAAGATCATAGTTTTTCATTTAGAAATTTTAGGTTTTTAAGTTTTAGACTTGAGTATGTGGTACAAACTAAATTTTGTGAGATGGCTCAAAGTTTTTCATTGTTTTTTTTGCACCTGGGTGTCCTCTTGTCCATCTTTGCTGAAGTGGCTATCTGCAGCAGCTCTGGGTAGTAGTGCTGCTTAGTTGTGAGCTTAGAATGAAAACAGTCAGCTTTTCAAGGTTTATCTCTTTACCAAGGTGACTGTCCCTTCCTTTCTTCATTTTCATGAAGTTCTTACCAGACATGGATTTAGATCATAGCAAATGTATTTTCTCTACCTATTGAGATGATCACATTGTTTTCTTTTTTAGTTGATTAGTATGTGAGTGGCATTCATTTTGAATGTTAAACCAAGAGTGTATTGATGAGGCTACCTTGTCTGATCACAATGTCCTATCAAATTGTTGGGTTTGATTAGCTAAAATCTTACTTGTAACTTTTACATATGTTTGCTCATGCCAGGATTTTAGTCTTTAGTTTCTGTTCTCCTGAAGGCTGTGTCTAGCTTTGGTGTCTAGATAGTACTTACTTCTTAAATAGTGAGAAAATCCTTCTTTTCAGTTTCCTTTGTGTATATATGTGTGTTGCTTGTGTGTGCAAGTACACTTGATCTAGTATAGGATTCTGCTATACTACCTAGCTGGCAAGTTCCAGTGTCTGCCATCAGTGCTAGGCTTGCAGCTATACACCATCGTGCATGCACATGGGTGCCGGGGATCCTAGCTCGGATCTTCATGCTTGCATAGCAGGCACTCTACCAACTGAGCGATTACTCAAACCCACCTTTTCAGTTTTCCAGAAAAATTTGTGTATGGTTGGAGTCATTTCTTCCTTGAGGACTCAAAATCTTTAGGAAGCTGTCTGGACTTAGGGTTTCTTTGAGTGACATAGGATTGTAGATCACTGGGTTGTTTCTCCCTCCCTTCTTCATGCTTGCTGTTTTCTCACTTGTATTGTTTGTAATAAGGTGTCTCCTCTCATCCTTAATACATTTGTTCCTCTCTATGCAATACATTATCTCTAGTTTTTCTTTTCACACGTTTTGGGCAGGTTGGTCAATAATAGTCCTTCCTGTGATCTTTAGCTTTTTGTGTGTTATAGATTTTTACATGCTTGGGTCTGTGTATTTACAGTTTTGTCACAGTGTTTGAGCTATTATTTCTTAAGCATTCCTGTCTTTCCATCTCTCCTCTCCAGATATTGGAATGAGATTCTAAGTTTTCCTAGAGCACAGCTTATGATGCTTTATTTGCATTTTCTATGTTTTGTTTTTATTTAACTCCACTTCTCAGTTTCATTTTGGGTAGTAGTATCTATTGCTATGCCTTAAACATTGCTAATATATTCTTCCAGCATGCCTAGTAAGCAATTAATTAGCATGAGTAAATAACCCATATTCTTATCTATTATTTCTAACACCTAGGTCACTTTTCCTTATTTTCTTCATTGTGGATCATATCTTACAACTTTTTTTTGCATGCTCAATAATTGTAATTAAGGAGAAACAGTGGAGACTCTCTTTTCTCCATTGTACCCAGAGTCAGGTCCCTGCCTCCTGCATCATCGTTATCCATCTCACTGCTGTGGTTTCTTGTCTCTTTGGGATCATTTTTGTTGTTGTTTGCTTGTTGTTGTTTAAAGATTCACTTGTTTTTATTTTATGTGTATGGGTTTTTTTGCCTGTGGTATGTCTGAATACCACTCACAAGCCTGGTTCCTGTGTAGGCCAGAAAGGGGCATCCTATCCTGTGAACTGGAGTTACAGACAGTTTTAAGTTTCCACACCCTTGCTGGGGAATCCCACCCAAATCTCTGGAAGACCACCTAGTGCACTAAAACTCTGAGCCATCTCTCCATCCTCATTGGGGTCTATTTTTAGGGGATGGATATCTGATGTCTTTGAAAGATCTGATTATCTGTTTCATCCTTACATTTTATTGTTTTATGTAAAAGGACAATTTTGATCTCTGCTACTCTGCCCTGATGAAAAGTGAAAATTGTGCCTTTTAATTTTACTCAATTTCCTTTTTTTTTTTTTTTTTAAAGTGGAAAGTTTTGTCAGTCTTCAACTCAATTGTTTCTATTGATCATATTACTTGGAAAAACATCTGTTCTTAAAAGCTTATATAAATAATGGTCAATTTTTACCCAAAGATCCTAATTTTCTTTTTTTATTCAAACACAGTCACCTTTCTATATCTGCATTTTATTTCCTCAAAATGAGTATTCTCATCATGTGGTGGTACATGCCTTTAATTCCAGTACTTGGAAGGCAGAGGCAGGCATGTCTTTGTGAGTTCAAGGCCAGCCAGGTCTGCATAATAAGTTTTAGGCCAGCTATGGCTACATAGTGAGACCCTATCTCAAAAATAACAACAGTAATACGTTTTACATTTCAGGTTTTTTTTTTAGACAGCTGTCATGTAGACTAGGCTGGCTTTGGATTCCCATCCCCCTGCTTCCGGCCCCAAGTACTAGGATTTACAGGCTTGTACTACCATACCTTGCTTCAAAAATTTTTTTTAAGTTTCATCTATAGCTGAGCATGTTGCTTGCTCATACTTGGGAGAGTGAGGCAGGTACATTACTTTGAGTTCCAGGCCAGGCTGGGCTACAAAGTAAAAGCCTGTCTCAAACAAATGAATTAATTGACTGTAATGATTAAAGCTACATCTATACAGAACACGTAGCGACTTGTTTATTTTCATTATTTCCTAAACAAGCAGAGTGACTAATCTTTTGATATTGTGACAACTCTTTCATCTATAAATGTGTTTGACCAAATTCATAGCGAGGCCTCAGGTTGAATATACCCATATACAGGTGTCTATTTATATAGCATTTACATTATACCCAAATATTAGAATAATATTGGGCCCTAAGTCCAGTTCAATATATTTGGTAAAATACTGTCCATAAAATAATGAACAAAAAATTCCTAACAGCTTAAGACCCAGTACCTAATAACTTAACACCCATTTCGTACCACTTACTTAGTTATAAATAGGGAAACATTTTTCAAAAACTCTTATAATTCATATTTTAATATATATTAACATAATATCTCAACTACTTTCTAATTATTCTTTGCTCTTGAATATTTTAGGAAAGTTACTGTTCAAGTCACATACATCATAATGCGGAATTCTTCATCAGTACCACAAAAAGATCAAGGTAAGAAAAGCCATGCTGCAGAAGATGCCATTATATACATTATAAAATAGCAATTTTAGTTGATATATTTATGCCTCTACCCTCCAGTCATGAGGTGACATATTTTCTAGAATTAAAAGCAAAATCTCCCATTACATATAAAAGCTCATTTTTTTGATAAATTAATCTAGTAGGTTATGGATTCCCAGGTTGCCAGGACATTATAAGGATCTGTCTCCTTTCCTAGGCTGAAAGGCCCCTAGAGCAAGCCAACTCATTCCAGGCAGAACTGAGAGGCCAGCCCACCACTGCCAGTTAGCTGGAGGTAATAGATGTCACTGGGATTATGGATGTGACTTCACTGGCAGAATGACCCAGGTATCTTAAATATTGCATTCATGCCTCATACATATTTATATTCAGATACATCTAAGGACACACATATGTAGAGATGATTTGCCTGTTTTCTCTCATGCCTTTCAAAATGAAATCTATAAGAAAAAAATATTATTTTCCTTCATGAAACCTATAAAAACATATACTATAATTATTAAATTGCTTCTTTTATTTTTGAGATTATAAAATAATTACATCATTTTTCCCTTCCTTTCTTCCTTCCAAAGTCTTCTATATACCCCTTCTTGATCTCTTTCAAATTCATGGCCTCTGTTTCATCAATCAATATATGTATATATTCCTAAATATAACATAAGTCTGTAGGATATTATTGGATATATGAATTGAGGGCTGACCACTTGGTGTTGGATAATTGGTCTGCTTTTCCATGGGGAAAACTGTATCTCCCACTTTGGCATGTCTGGTGCTTTTGTCCTTGTTTAGCTCATGTTTACATGGTCATGTTGATAAGACTTTGACGATTACTAAAAGACACAGTCTCATAGACAATTACTAGAAGACAGTCTCACAATAACTCCCATATACTTTGGTTCTTACATCTTTCCACCCCCTCTTCTTACACAGTGCTGCTGTGTTCCCTGAAGCTTGGGGGCAGGAATGTTTTGTAGATGTATCCACTGGAACTGGGTTCCATAACTCTTGCATTTTGATTGACTATAGTTTTGTGTAGCAGGCTTTGTCTAAGTTTCCTTGATGAGGAGTGAACACTAAACTTATCTTTGAATATTAAGACAAATGCTTAGATTGATACTAGAGATCATAGTGATTTAATAAAGTGGTGGTTGTAGGTTCCCTTCTAAAAACTGTGATTTCACTAGCACTAAGTACTTAGCTAGTAATAGGCATGGTTTCTCTCTTGTTGAGCAGATCTTACGTCCAATTTGACAACTGTTGACTAATGCCAAGGTATTCATGCCACTACTGCACCCATTGTAACATGCTGGACATGGATGTGGTTTGTAAGTGTCATAGTTGTGTAGCACTATTGGTTGCTTCTCTCATTGGGAAACTTGCATACCTTCTGATACCATGAGAGCTAGTCCTTGGGGAGGAAGCATTCAAGTCAGTTACAGCTCAGAGGTCTCTGAGCCCTGTTCTCAAGTACATGGTATCTTCAACAATCTAGAATTACCTTCTACCTCTGGGGATGGCAACCAAGGGCAAAAGCAACTAGCTGTGTGTTTGAGGAATCTGTTGGACAACCCTGGCTAACAACTCAAAAATAAGTGCATCTCATGTGTGGTATTGGATTTTTTGTTAGGTGGTCTTTAGCTTTTGAAGGGAGCATTGTCAAGCCAGATGAGTCAAGTTCATTAAAACTTTATGTGTATATTTATAGAAAGAATTACATGTATTATAGGTTTGTAAGTAAATAGTTAATAGTATGATTCCTTATGACTTATGTGATTCCTTATTCCCCAGACATGCTTGTTGTTTTTCTGAGACTATTAAGATGATCGTGTGATTTTTGTCTTTAAGTACATTTATTTAGCTTATTACATTTATAGACTTGTATATGTTGAAACATCCCTAAATTTCATGGATAAAACCAACTTAGTCATGGTGTATAATCTTTTTGATATATGTGTGTATTCACTTGTAAGTATTTTATTGAGCATTATCAAGTCTATGTTCACCATTGTCATTGTTGGTTTCATTTTCGGGTGTGTCTTGACCTGATTGTATGTCTGTCTGTCTGTTTTTAGAGTGATATTTGCTATGTAGAAGAGTTTCTGTTTTTTGTTTGATTGGTTTTTTATTTTGTTTTGTTAATAGTTTAAGGCCTGGCTATAGGTCTTCCTTGAAAGTCTGGTAGAATTCTGCTGTGAATCTATCTAGTCCTGGACTTATAGCTGGAATGCTTTTTTATTACTATTTTAATCTCCTCATTTGTTTTGGGTATGTTTAGGTTGTTAACTTCTTGGTGGGTTTTGCTGAATCTGTAAGTTCATCCATTTTTAAAGATTGTTTTAGGTTAATGGAGAATAGGTTTTTAAAGTATTCCCATATAATATTCTGAATATCTTTGGTGTCTATTGTAATGTTTCCCTGTTCATTTCTGGTTCTCTTTCTTTGTTTAATTGGGCCAAGGTCCTGTCAATCTTGTTTATTTTCACAAAGAACCAGATTTGAGATTCATTGATTCATTGTATTATTTTCTTTGTTTCTACTTCATTAATTTCTGCTCTGATTTTTATTATTTCATTGCTGTTCACTGGGGTTTAAATTTGGCTTGTTTTTTGTTTTTCAAGTTTTTGAGTTATACTGTCAAACCATTTATTTGTGCTTTTTTGTTTGTTTGTTTGCTTTGTTTTGGGGGGTGTTTTTTGTTTTGTGTTGGTTTTTTTTGTTTTGTAGACACTTAGAGCTATAAATTTCCCTCATAGTACTGCTTCGGGTGATTTTGCTGTGTTGTGTTTTTATTTTCATTTAGTTCCAGGAAATTTTTAATTTCTTTCTTGATTTCTTTGGCCCATTCATCATTCAGTAATGAACTGTTTAATCTCCATGAGTTTGTCTATTTGTTAGAGATGTGTTTGTAATTTCCTTGAGACAAGTAGGTAGCCAGGCCCTGACAACTGAGGACCTCCAGCTACCAGGCTCTGCCCACAGAATCCTCTAATGGCCATAGTAGCCAGAACTAGCCCTCAAGACATAGGCAAACTAGTTCCACCCTCCAGTGTAAACAGCCCAAGATCAGGTCACAAAGCCACCAATTCCTGAGCTTGCCCCAAGAAACTCTAAATTAACCCTGCCCCCTGTTGAGTTCTTTGCTGCTTCTTCCTGGAGCAGAGGCAGACACCCTCTGTGTCTTTCCCAATAAATCTATGTGCTACTCCCTGGCTCCTGACTGCCAGGATACCTTTTCCCTCAGAGCTGTACCACTTACATTGTACATTGGATAGGCTCTTCTGGTGCCTGTGCTTCCCCTTGGGGTCTGAGCCACACTGGGATCCCATCCTTCATCTCTAGTCCACCTGAAACAGACTCACATTCTGTCTTGCTGACTGCTTGACACCCCATCCACCAGCAGCAATCCTGAAGTTTCCTTAGGCCCAACTTGGCTATTGTACCCTTTCCTGCCCTCTTCTCCCACCTTCCCTTCAAAGCTGCCTGTAATTCCACAGCTTCTCTAGACTCCCATGGCTTTTATGAATCCATTCTCTAGCCCTTTCCTGTGGTTAAAACCTCATTCCAGAGCACAGTTTTTCATCAGCTTCTGGGAAGCCTTCCAGTCTCATTGAAACCCCGGGGGGCCAGGTGCTGAGTCTCCTCTTCAGGCTATTAGCCCTTATCACATTGAGTGAGGTGACAACCCTCACAAAAGCTTGGTACTCATTTGGTCCTCCCTGAGAACTGGTACACCATGCCTACAGGCTGCTGATATTTTTTTTCTCCCCACCCCATCTCTCATCCACTTGGGATACCTTTTAGAAAACCTCAAGCCTGTATACTTGGCACCCAACCTAAGGGCCCTAAATTTGTTTGCCTTTGCAATCAAATTTGACCTTAATATCCCTCAGATAATCAATCCAAATGACCCCTAGATCCCAATATTATTCATGACCTTGACAAATCCTGCAAGAGATTCAAGCTTTCTCTTTTTTTCTGCTCCAAGCCATTTTTTAATTGGTAGCACAGCCACCACCCCTCCCCAGCCACACAAAGATACACTGTGTAAATAAATGCCCTGTCTTTTAAGTTACCCTTGGTGGATCTGTAAGTTGGTTGCATAGTGGGAACCCAAAGCTGAACCTAGCAAAAGAGGGTAGAAAGTAAAGGAGTAGGCCAGCTACAATGTGCACTATCCTGCACACACTCCTCCCTGGTTGGTGCATCTCTCAGCTCCCTCTTGTAGCACCCTCTGTCTGTAGCCAAGGCTCAAAAATTTCCTATCTTTAAGCCTTCTTTGTTCTCAACTTACTGGATTCAATTTTACAAGGATTCAGGTATCTTTTAAGTGTCTTTTAACTGGTGGCATTAGACTGTTGTTATACGGTGTCCCACTTCAGTTAAAAGCTGACTGTGGAGTTGGAGGTATGTTTCCCCCTCCTGTAGACCCAAGCATGCTTTTTAAAATGTTTCCTCTAAAATCTCTGTCCCATATCAGGCAAGCCACCTGACTATGTGACAAAGAAAAAAAAAAGAAAACAATATAAAAGGACAGACTATTCCCAGTGGGGACTATTCTACTCATCTCATATTCTCTTGGCTTTGGTTTAACTCTCTAAAACTTTTGCTAAGGTGTAAATCTTATCTCAAGATTTGTAAGACTATATTATATAAACTCTCTGTACCTCAAGATCTGTAGGCATTTTTGGATATGATTAAAAATCTGTAAAATCTGTAACAAAAGGATTAACCACAACTTGTCACACCAGGGTTCATAGTTAAAAAATCTAAGGAAATAAGTGGCTTACTACCATCTTAGCAGCTGTACCCCATCAGGATAGGCAGCCTTGTGACAGACAGCCGTCTTTGTTAGGGTTGGAAAAGATGGATTTTGCCATGTGACTTCACTTCTTTCTTGATTAAAAGTGACCACTTGGTATAAGCCAACCAAGAAAAATGGAAAAAAACAAAAACAAAAACAAACAAACAAAC